TTTACGAATACTTTTTTGCTTCGATCGTAACTGCTAGTATGGCTTACCGATATTCTCGGTTATTTGGGCGCTCGATGTGAATTTTCATAATTTAGCTTTCCACTCAAAAAGTAGTTAAAAGTCTCAAAATTGCCGTTTTGCTTTCACATGTCCCTAACACAAGTCACTGCGAACTTATACTTATAACGCACGCCGTAACTGAAATTTCAATATATACGAGCTGTGCTTGATGTAAACACTAATTTATTTTACAGTATTTTCAGCAATTTGACTGAAAAGAAAAAAAGAGAAGAAGAAAAAATGAGCGCCGAGCAAAAAACGAAATTATAGTTTACTTCAAAATAACATCAACGTCACACGAAACGATAATTAATTTTATGACGGACTCTCATATTGGTTGAAGATTAAGACAATTAATTTGAAAAATAATAATGTAAGGCTTTATGCTCAATACGATAAAAGGTACGATAATTTCATAGAGTCAGTTTTGCGAAAAAAAAAATTTCTTCTTTTTTCATTGATTTTATCAATTAGAGAAAAAATAGAAATAACTCATTCCAGCTGAAATTCTGCCTCTCCATGTTAACTTTGATTTAATCTTGTTTACCCGCTTATTTTACAGCCTAACGCCAAATAATTATTACATGCGAATAAATCTCTTTATCGCTAGAACATAAAGAACAAAATTCATCAAACACATTGATCATCAAATATCTGAAAGTCTTTTCACACGAACTTATGAAATATCGATTGAAGCTAAAAATTGAAAAGGATATTGGGTAATCATTGATCTATAGTGATAACAACGGCTACTGGAAATTAAAACGAGTCAAAGAAACTCATGATTACTCTAATAAGCTATCAAAATCGATAAAATCTGATGATACGGTGAAAACCCAGAAGAACTTTTTCCAGTTTGAATTTTGTCGAATGAATGTTGTATATTGATTTCCTGCTAAGATAAATATATTTTTCATTAAGTCTCATGAATAATACAATTTAATATAATTTTCTTTTTATAGTCTTGGGAAATTGATTAGTTATTACATCGAAGTAAATAAAGTTAGTTTCTTTTCTTTTAAACTACGTGTTAACGAATCAATCCTTTCTAAATCATGCACAATACCAATTACCTAACCTAAGCCTTTGTGTATTATCATTCGTATTGATTTTAACGGCACATTTACCATGTAAAATTTGATAAAGGACCTCGATAAATAAATAAAACAAAACAAAAAGATTTAATATTTTAGAGAATAGACGTTCACTCAACCGAGGACAAAATATATGTCAGATTTTGCTCTAGATAATGTGTCCTATAAAACAAATCGATCCTCTTCTACCATTAAGCAATAATGTCTATGCAAACAACGAAGAATTTGCACATGAAATAGAAAACATCGTGCTATTAGTCAAATTATGATAGTATAAGAATCGTTGAGCTGAATAAAATTGCAACTTACTTTGTTCGACCAATCTTACGTTTATGCATAAAAACGTCCTAACGGAACGTACACGTATATATATATATATATATATATATATACATATATATATATATATATATACGTGTACCGCCAATCTAGGAGGAAAGTCGGTAGATTGTACGTAAATACACGCAAGTACATGAGCTTTGCATGAATATTTGCATAATCCCTTTCTTACGAGTCCAATGAATTTATCTCAATTATTGTAAATCGCGCGATTTTATCTCGTATTAAAGAATCAAAGTATGTTAACTCGAATTCTATTCAATGATTTAAAAGTTTGCGATGCAAATTTTAAATGAAAAGCTTTGTCGTATCTCACGTGTGATTCCGTGCTGTAATTAAGATACGAGAGCAACGCAAATGCAAAAAACAAATATAGACAATTTAATAGTTCAGCTGCGAAGAGAATATCCGTAGGGAAAAAGGGAAAATCCCGGATTCGAACTCCAGCGAAGTAATGTCGCGATCCTCCATCCTCGCCCTGCCGACACCACCCACCGCCCTCTTCCGCAAATTTCTCTTAATTTTTACGTTTCGAATTTTATTCAATGTGTTCAAAGTTATTAATCATGAGCATCGACACCTTATGAGAATAATATTAAGCGCAATCAACGAATAAAGAAATGCTCATTATTTCTGATGCTGTAAATACGTATTTTCTTAATTGCACGTTATTCTCATAATGATAAAAACCAACGGTTTCTCTTTCTCTTTCAACTGAAAGTCGAAACTGGTTCTTAATTTAAACTTTTTTCTCACTTTATTGAGTCTTAATAAAACGTTTCTACCATAAGTGCAAAAATAATATTAAATATTTACAATAATAATAATTAAATGAAGAAAAAAAAGTAAGAAAAAAGAAGAAGAAAAAAATATATATATGAAAGTAAGTTGAATATTTTGCGATTGTGAAAATGTATAAAAGAAAGATTTAGCAGATTGCAAAATAAATTAGTTAGAAAGTGGAAAATATTGAGATATGCGAATGCATAATATTTATTACCACATTAAATGAAACTATTATCGCTTAGTTGCCGTAAAGAATTTCATGCCTAAATGAATGAGACTGTTTTATTTAAATAATGTAGACAAAAAGCTCATAAACAATGCACTTTGTAAACGACGTGGACAAACAAATTTAAATTTTGCTTTAAATCGTGAATTATTTACCGAAATAAGAAAATCATAGATCAGTATGTCGGAAATTCCGACAGATTCACCAATCCAAATGTCTTCTCAATTCAAAATAATTATCAACAATTAATGAACGATGCGACTAATAATAATTCGGGCCAAGATAAATGTAAAACTTTTGTTCTATTTAAGAAAAGCGCGATATTTAATACTTTTATCACCTCTCGTTGCAACTTCCGCGAGTACGTTTATTTCGGTAAAATCCACTACCGGCAACTGACATCGCAACCTTCCAAGAACTCCATTTACCATTTGCCAACGACTCGCCAATTACGTCACAGAGAATCCTCGCCTACACCTCTTCTACATATCTCTCGCCCCCCCCCCGCCGGTTATCTCTTAATCCCGCTTAATCAGTATCGAGGTGCAGCATAAGACTCTCACCGTCGACGAATCTCCCACGGAGCTCGATACCATGGGCTAGGGGGGATCCAGTCAGGGAGGTGAAGATGGGTGGGAGATTGAACTTGATCGACGTTGAAAGTTCTCTCGGTGGCCGCACGCACGCGCGCGCGCTTCCGCGTTAAACGGGAAAACGTTCGGAGTCGGTCGGCGAGAAAAGACGCCGGGGCCCGTTGCGCCCGAGGAGATAAAAAGCGGGTGGAGCGCAATCGATTATTCAATCGTGTGGCTCGCGGAGAGGCCCAGTTCCCGGCGACGTCCCCCGGCTTCGAAGGATCGGACCCGGGCCTTTCTCTTTTCTCCGCGAGCGGCCACGATAAAGCGCTCAGTCCCGTGTTCGCCTTCGCATCGCTCTCGCTTTCTTCGTGAGTCTGCGACCGCTCGGCATCGACTCTCGTCGCAGAGGAGACCGGCCGACCTTGCCATCGACCCCTGAAGCGAGCGCGAGCGCAGCCCCGAAACCGCTGGCCACGTCCTTTGCCGAGGCGAAGTCCGTTATTGCTGTCCTTCTCTTGGGGATATCATCTGGCAGGTGGGCAGCTCCCGAGGGGGTGTTGTGGTCGGACGGCGCTGCGGCCACGAGCCCGACGACGGGGTCAACCAAAGGCCCATAGACTTTTAAATTCGCTGTGTCAATGAGATATTTCGTTGATGTGCTTTTTTATCTTTGCCGGACGATGCCTTGGCGTTCGAGGCTCTAATTTCACAATCGCTGCTCCATGTAAGTCGTCATGGATATTTAGCGCTTAACGACTGCTTGGGAATTAGAATAGGAACGGTTCGTTGGGCGAGAGCAACCGAGTTGGCGCGATGATAAATATCAAATCCCTCGGAATCCGTTACGTTAACAATAACATTGAATAACAACGAAGATAACTAACTAACGATAGGGCCGATAAGAACGATAACGGTAAAGCGCACAATGAAACAGGATAATAATAACGATAACGACCATGTCCACAATGACAATGACAATAACAACGACCACGACAACGACAACAATCATAATAATATGATATTTATGCGCTAGGAATAAAAATACGCGAATTAAAATAGTCGTTGATGATGAGGAGGCTTTGTCAAATCGATATTATCGAATGCAGATTTGGATTTTTAAACGTCAATACTTTCAAATCAAGATAGTAAAATTTTAATTTTTTTTTTATTATGTTAATAAAAATACAAGAAAACAAAAACATAAACAAAAACAATTTAATTATTGCTGCCATTGCAATTAATTGATTTTACGAATTAAAAGTATATGCGGTAGTAAAGGATATTAAAATTCAAATGAATTTATATATAAACGTATGTAGAAATTGAACGGATTTTTCAATTATTAATTTATCCAATCATAAAAATTATAATTGTTATTAATATGAGTTCAATTAGTTTCTCTGACTACAACTTGATGATAATTCAACGTTTTTTACAACTTGATAACGACGAGATTAATAAAGAAAAGAACGAATAGAAAATTGCAATTTAATAGATGAATGTAATAAGTAATCGATTACTTTTCTAAAACTATACTTTTCCGATAACGATCCTATGATATTCATTCACGGGATAAAATACTTCATAATTACGTGGAAGTTTATCTTAAAACTATTTCTCATCTATCGATCGATCGATATTTTCTATTGCTCCTTCAAATCATTTCGATTAACTCTACTAAGCTTAACTCACTCCATTAACGGAAGTCATACTAATTTGTCCCCGTGTGCACGCATTAACATATGCATACACACACACACACATACGCATATACACGCATATACATCTAAATTCATATATTCATATATTCATATAAGCGCATGTATATAGATTAAATAAATTGAAAACTAGTTATCTTCTACTAGCAATCGATAATGTATTCTAATTATGCTTCAAAATGCTGTTCCAGTAAACAAAGATTAATCGGAGAAGGTTAAGCGCCATTGGTTATTATTTAACTGTATTAAGACTGACTTATGCTCGCATCCATATATGGATATGCACACGAATTCAAGGATGACATGCAAAAATGGAGAATTGCGATATTACGCAACTCTCGTTATATGGTTCGTTTTGGCCAATTTTCGCGTCTGCCACATTAATGCCCAAGATGCTAGCATTAACGAAGGTGAGAGAGATATAATTTAATTATTAAAAAAATTTAAGAGATACAATATTATATTCGTTGCTATGTTAAAATGTATAAATGTTACTTTAATTGGAAAGGGTTGAAGAAAATTGGGTTACAAGGCAAATATGAAAAATTCAATTTAAATATTTCGAACGCTATGAATTACCAGGGTTTTTTCTTTTTTTTTAACCACTTTCATTATCTACACGTATACGATAAGCACAAATGTGTATACTTTAAATGAATTTTATTTAAAGCTGTAATAAATTGTAGTGCTACCATATAATTGGTGGAATATTGTATACGTAAATTAGTTTTAAAGCGACGATAAAACAATAGCAAAAGTCACGTTTTTATTGAATGAGTAATATCATTTTAAGTATAGTTTATCCTTCTTCAAATTTATGAAGAACTTTGATTTTATGGGAAGAACTTTGATGTTGAACATTGATAAATTGCGTATAATTGAAAACTTGAAAATTACAAAATAATATTACGCTTCATTGTTGGGTAAACATAACGTTGGTAAACACAAAAACACCAAAGAAATAAAATATTTGTGCTTTGATAAACAAAGTATTCTGAAAATATTTCGAGTGAAAATTAGAAGAAAAATAATAATTTAGCGACTGAATAAAATATTACATTCTACAGCATTGTTTTGTTGTCTTGTCAAATTTGCTAAGACAATTAAATAATGTACATTATGATAAACCGATCTTGGTACTTAAAATAAGGAAGACAATAAATATTATAGTTATGGTAAGAAAATCGGAGAGTAAGAGACCTTAAAGTAGACCAAGACGTAGATGAGGAGATAATATTAAAGTCTACTTAAAGAGATCTGGGGTACGTTCAAATATCTTGAACGGATAATGCGCAAAATAGAAAAGGAGTTTGGTTCGTGCGCCGACGAGGTGTTGACGATTACGTTAAATTTCTCAGCCAGCGTTAGTGAGATGATATAATGTAAAACAATTATTATTATTTTTTTTTCTTTAATAATAAATAAAAACATTAGGATGTAAAAATATTAATTTTTGTCATTATTTTCCTTCCGTGTAGTAGTAGTTCGTTTACAATTAGACTTGTTTATAATTAGATTTGTAATTACATGGCAAATAAAAAGCATTTAATCTCATGAGAGTCAATGGGTATTATTTTAATGATGGAATATATCTCATATCTTAATTATAAACAATTTTCTTAATTTTTTTTATAAAAGAAAAGGAAAGGAAAAACTTGTTCATATTTTGATTATAAATGTAATATTTTGTCAATATACTTAAATGATATCTTAGAGTGTAAATAAAAAGTTGATAATTACAATAAATCCCATTCGTTTGCATAAAATAATTATGTGTTAAATGAAAATTATGTGCGTGTATTGCATTGATATGGAAAATGTGGCAGGTAGAGAGTATACATTAATGATACATTAACTATCGGTGTATATGTGAATGCATGTTTGTTATCAATTTGCTTCTTTATAGTCCACTGTAAGACGAGTGACTCATACGAATTGCATAAATTGTAATGAAGCAAAGGTTAATAAGCTGACAGCAGCGGGTAACATAATTTTGCAATTTCAATTCATATCAATACTCACTGCTTATTATTTTATTTATTTTTTTTTTTAATTATTTTTTTGTTGTTTTTTTTTCAATAAACATTCAGAATTAATCATATTCGGTGCAACTTTTTTTATATCAGTTTATAATTTTATAGATTTATCTTGTTTTGCCGTTTTTCTCAATGCAAATATTCATTAAAGAATCCTAATCTCCTAGAAAGTATAATGCCCATTCATAAAACTTATTCGACTATATTTAACTTCTAAATGAAGACCCGCACGAGGCTGACAGCGTTTAATAATCTGTCAATAATAAATATTTTTATTTATTTAATAGAAACATTGTCTTTATATGTGTTTTTCTCTCTTCTCTCCTGTCTATCAAATTCATAATCTACATGGAATTGATAAATTAATATAAGTTATATAATCGATATAATATTAAAAATTATAACAACCACTGTATCATTATTAATTATAAACAATTTATTTCAGTGCACTCCGTAGTAATAATTTCATTCAAAATTTACATAATAATTGAATGATGTTTTATGCATTTAACGAAAAAAACATATCTACCGTCGAAGCCTCTTATTTTATTAAATTCATGTTAAAATTCACTAAATTATAGTAATTTTTTAAATTATTCGCAGTTTTTCGATGATGCCTCGATATCTTAAAATACCTATATGAAGTATTGAAAACTATTACGAACAAAAATTCTTTTTAATAATTGTCAACTAAATGTGATGGATACGTGTGCAGATAAATAAACGTGTGCATAATCTGTTACACAAGCTTGATTAGATTAAGTGTGCATAAATAGGCAAATGTTTCAATGACATTTAATAAATATGTTCGGTTAATTACTTTAAGCTAATTAAATTATTTGAACTTTTTTTTATCTGCTAATAAAAATAATGGTGTAGCGATAATTTTCTTGATATTACGTCCTGAATCTTTATAAGTTTTTAAATTGTTGTAAAGTTCACAAATCTTAAAAATCCGTAAATATACATATGCATATTGGTAGTGAAGAGTTTATTGAAGACGTAAGCTATCACCTTTAGATAGTTGATAGTTGTAATATAATGATAATATGTACAAATAGCGTATCCATTTTTTTCATTACAACCACGGATTTTTTGTAGTGATATTAATGATGAAATGTAATTCATATGCTATACATTAATAAGTTTTCCAATCCAATTCATGTTTTTTTTTGTATTCTGATATCGCAACAATTCATATTTCAATACATTGATATATATGAGATTATCTCATTTCATGATTAGTACTTTACTATTTCAATTAAATTTTTGTTAAAATTTATTAGGATTAATTGAATGTAATAGAAATATTACATTTGTTTATTCTTTCACTTATAATAGAATATTTGTTTAGAGTTTTATAACGGCTACATAGATTATATACATTGTAAACTGATACCTATGTAAGTGTGTGTGTGCGTGCGTGCGTGCGTGTTTTCTCTTTATTATAAAATGTCTTAAAAACAAGGAAATTGAATGCTTGTATTAAATATACCTTAGTTGCTGAATAATTTGTATTTTCTTATCTTGTTTAAAGATATCGTTGATGAATCTACTAAGTTCGAATAGACGTTATTTTACAAAGCACGGCTTTTTCAATATAAATGTAACAAGGGATATTAAACGATAAAAATTATCATTTCACAATTCCACAAATATTGAAAATTACAGTCAATTGACTTTCAAGTAATTTCGTTTTTAAATAACACACAAGTTCCGTTAACATTTTTGAGATGAATAATTGGTTTCCTAATAACATGAATAATCTCCATATCTTGCGTAATATCTTATCGTATTTTACCTGGAATTACATGTATTTTTCATATTAGATGATTTTGAGGCAGAGGTAAATAAAAGGCCAAGCGATTTTCTGCATAAAAATTGTCCGAGCCAAATGGAATGTGGAAAACCAAGGCTTAATCATTGGAAAAAGCTTGCGAGAACTCGCGCGTATTTGCGTATGCTAAGCATAAAGTAAGACTCAATAATTGATGCGCTTTCATTTTTGCAACTGCCAATTTCCAGCCGAGTCCAACAACACGCGCGCAGATGATAATCTCCGTTAACGTTCAAGCTGTTTGGAAAAAGTAGCTTCGCACATGTACAGGCGTGTGAGACGAGTACACAAAAGTACCGAATAGAAGTGTCCGTTCCGATGGTCTTTGCGAGCGGGCCAATGACGTCATCGTTGAGACGTCAATTATGATTTTCGCGCATCGTATGTATGATACGAACGCACTTAGGGATCGTGTATTTTCGGAGAATTGCCGAGAACGACCGCTGCAGAATCGGGAGCTTCGCCCTTCCCCTCGCCATCATACTCGTTCGCTCGCTCTTTAAAAGTCAGCGGGGTTCCTCGGCGCTTCATTACACTTCCTTTTCTACGCTCAATTTAATCCGGTAGGTAAAGGAAGTGAACAAAGTGTGAGTCTAGGATTTTGGGTAGGAAAGTACGTGAAGGTTGAAGAGGATATGGGGTGGAGGGCGGAGGGAGGGAGGGGTCAAGGAAGCAGAGAGGAAATATTTCAAACCGTTACAGGATTTAAGGGAAATATAGATTATTGAAAATATTGTCAGGTAGAGAAAAATATTTCAAAATTCACTTGTCCTTCTATATTATTTTACTCTCGTTAATACGGACAATGCTGTGTAAAAATTGTGAATATAAATATAAACATAAGTTTTGTATTCTATTTACATAATTAACATTAACGTACTTTCAATTATATAATCAGCGTATAGTTAGTCGAGTATATGTCTTTGTCAATGGAATAATATAAAATATTATAATCGTATGATATTTTTTCAAAATTTGTGTGAAACTAATTAAAAATTATGCATTATATTAAAACTATTATATAACAAAAACAGCGTGCAGATAATTAACTGCATAGTTATAGACGTTATGTGGCTTGAAATACTTATTTTATTAATAATGAAATATTTCCTATATCTAATTTAATGATTATATATATATATATATATATATATATATATACATATATCTATAAAAATTCTATAAAAATCTATAAACATCAAAATTCTTCTATTTAATGTAAGACTGCACATATAATTCAATAATTATAATTATTTAAATGTAAATAAAATAACAGTTATCATTGTCAAATTATAAATAAGATTGACTATATCTTATTTTAAATTATGATCAAATTATGTAAATTATATTTCTTGCATTATCATTATTAAATGACTGTTCAATTATTTAGTACTGAAGCGAAGTGTTATAAAATAAACGTAAAGTATGATGCCAATTAAAGTGCAGGCAAAAGAAAGTTGATCGAGAAAATTAATGATTATCGTGTAATTTATGCTAATTGAAGCACTTCTTAATAATTTAAAATAAAAATATACTT